TACATCTGTAAATATAGCCAATATTTGATGCTGGTATGTATACATCTGTAAATATAGCCAATATTTGATGCTGGTATGTATACATCTGTAAATATAGCCAATATTTGGTGCTAGTTTGATACATCTGTACAAATAGCCAATATTTGATGCTGGTATGTATACATCTGTAAATGTAGCCAATATTTGATGCTGGTATGTATACATCTGTAAATATAGCCAATATTTGGTGCTAGTTTGATACATCTGTACAAATAGCCAATATTTGATGCTGGTATGTATACATCTGTAAATGTGGCCAATATTTGACGCTGGTTTGTATACATCTGTAAATATAGCCAATATTTGATGCTAGTTTGTATACATCTGTAAATATAGCCAATATCTGATGCTAGTTTGATACATCTGTTCAAATAGCCAATGTTTGATGCTAGTTTGATACATCTGTACAAATAGCCAATATTTTATGCTAGTTTGTATACATCTGTACAAATAGCCAATATTTGATGCTAGTTTGTATACATCTGTAAATATAGCCAATATTTGATGCTAGTTTGTATACATCTGTACAAATAGCCAATATTTGATGCTAGTTTGTATACATCTGTACAAATAGCCAATATTTGATGCTAGTTTGTATACATCTGTACAAATAGCCAATATTTGATGCTAGTTTGTATACAATTGTAAATATAGCCAATATTTCTTCTTTGAATAAACAACTATATAACTGGAGGAGGAAATAAACGAATTCGTTGATATTACAATCTATTTCTCCGAAACCGTGCTAAACATATATAATGAGGAATAAAATACCGGTTTCAATTATTACCTAAAAGGCGTGGCAAGTTGTAGGTATATATATATTTATAGTACTCAGGAATTGATAAATAAGTTCCTTATCAGCTATACATATTCGCTTGGAAAAACCCACATGTAAAATGGGTATGAACTAAGGTCCCCGAGACATGAGAAAGGTCTTGCAAAACAACAGGTAACCTTTGCTTATAAAATATATTTACACAACAACTTATCCCTGTCGGTGTAAGATCGAACATTTGAGCTGTCACTTCAAGTACTTGCCAACCTTCTCATACAATAATGGTTTCGCCCATCTCACGCGTCACTGAAGTAAAAAACATCACAGCCCATTTATATAGGGGGTATCCGATCAAACATCTTTGCTCATTCTGTACTTTTCAACGCCACTTTTTTGCCTTCTGTAAAAACACGTGAAATAAATGCTGTTTGTCCAAGTGATTATTACACGAATGATTAATCACTAACCTGGTTGTTCCTGGAAAAGGTTACATTAAACACTAACTTTGTGATAAAACATGATACTCGCCAATACCAAGACTTTTTTCTGGTTATTAGTCGTGTAACTTATAATCTATTTGCATTGTCAGCCATTAGTACCACTTTAGTCGTCAAATGATTGGTCCTCTTAAATTTCCTCATTACAAATGAAATTATAATAGCGTCTTTAACTCCCCCTCCCCACCAATCTTTAACAGAGGAATCTTCATTTAATTCTTTTGTATTCGTATATATTTTCTTTCTATAACAACAGCTACTTTTAAATGTTGCCTCATTAATTACATATTTTCTTTTAATAACAACTTTTAAATGTTGCCTCATTAAGTACATATTTTCTTTTAATAACAACTTTTAAATGTTGCCTCATTAAGTACGTATTTTCTTTCTATAACAATAGATACTTTTAAATGTTGCCTCATTAATAACAAAACGATGTGTAATGCCATCCTAAGATATTCCTTCACGTGCTAGATGGCCATCACAAGCTCGACACTTTCTGTACAAATAGTTACTTTTAAATGCAGATTCGTTTTATTATTACAGGTCGATGGACCTAAAAGCATTTCGTAATGTGCTAGGTGGCGCTCCAAGATCAACAAAGTCAATCTGGTTTCGTTCAAACTCTTTTTTTTTCTAAATAATTTTAATTATGAGGATATATTTGAAAGTTTCATTCTCTATACTGTGTTTAAGCAATTTAATCTTGTCATACCTTTAGCTAACATTCTTTAATTTTGCGATAGACACAAATGTGTTCTACAGCTAAATCTTGATACTCTTCTTCCTAAGACACACGGAACGATAAATTATTAATGCAATTTTATGACCGTTGAATCCAATTTCCAATCCAATCGTGGCAAGCATTTTGGTATAATAACCATGGAATGGTCAGAAATTAAAGTTATTTCTCTTCGCGCCTTATGATCGTTGAACGGGGTAAATCAAATATACGGAAAGAAACGGTAGAAAAGGAGGGCTCGAAGCTTACTGTTTCAACTATTCATGCAACTTTTCTATTGGCTGCTCTGATACGTACGTGTACAATACCCATTCGGTAATTCCCCTTCTTTGGAGGTAAGAGAATACTCTCCTTAACTGAAAGGTTGTGGGGTGAGTTTATATACCAAAACAAATAGAGGTCGGACCTGTAGGAGAACGTGTAATGACAGCAACAGATTGTTTAAATATTCCTAGTTCTGAATAGTGTTGTAAGCACCAACAGGAAGGTATAAGTAAGTAGAAGTATTTCGTTCTATCTAGTTTGAAATTAACAGTGTTGGTTGATTGAGGTTAGTGTGGTAACTGGAATAAAGTATTTCCCGGGATTCTGCGAACTGACTCGCAGTTTGAATTCTACATCTACGGGACACGTCACTTTCAGGTTAAGGTTATTCAAAGATTCCATTACGTCATCATTTAGGTAAGTTCCTCTGAAAGTGCGCAATACTCAGATTGTTGCTAATTTTTCTGGCGGTCTTAGAAAGTGTAGTTAGGCATTGCAGATTTGATGAATTATTTCACCGACGCATCTTCAGTAAGTTCTGAACTTTTATAAACTTATTGACAATTTGCATTCATTAGATCATTTAAGTGTGAAATTTTCATTTAAAAAAGGTTATCGTCGATAAATTAATTTATTTTAAAGTTGGTTCAGCTTGAATTTTTGATGCTGTTACAAAGTTAGCATTGTGAAAAATTGATTAATTATTTCATATAATTACATTGTAAATTTGCAGGATTACACCAAGAAAACTTATCTTTGGAACTTAATCGAATTGAAGTTTAGAAAAAATGGAGATAATGGGATACGATAAAAGTATTTTATTGAACAGAGTAAGAAACCGTAATTTCAGATATTAAATCTTTATTGTTACATTAAATATTTGATACGAGAAACATCAACGCAAGATATTAAATAATTGAATTATTGAGTGAAAATTAAAACTTTTCTTTAAGTTGTATTTCAATCCCCAAAATGGTCGGATACCCAAGCAGACAACTTTATAAAATCTATAATATTTAGGTCAATATCTATAGTCCCATTAGATGAATAAATACATTTTATTTTAATTTAAAGGATAAATTTTAATCTTCCTACAACTAGGTGCAGATGGTGAATAGTCTTGGGAGAAGTACATTGTAAGACTAAGCATTTATATTCATTAATTAGTTCTAATTTTTAAAGACACACGAGGTTTGCGACACAGTATTACTATTACCACGTTGTAGTATTGTAATTAATTCCTTCGTTTATTTGATTGCCCTTTATGGGCAACGCTTTTTCGTTTTTTGATTTACTTCTCTAGAATTGCATACTTACAGAGGGTTGATTGAGTACGTCACATTACAACGCTGTTACAGTCTACGCCACTACGTCCGTTCACGCTCTATCTGATGCACGTGTATCTTTACAATAGCTGTACAACGTATTTTTATAGTACAAGGCTTAATGGTAAGGCTGTCATATCCATAGCACGTCATTCATACCTATATGCTTTCCATAATGCAGCTATCATACGAGGATAACGAGACCGTTTCAACAGTCTGATCGTACAGAAATCTATTAAAGCTGTATTCGGTGACATGAACGGTATGTCTTCGTATGGAAAAGCAATAATACTCGTTTTCTTCTGCAGCTACTTGAGGTATGCGATGGTTGAACGAGAGGTATGACTGGAAGCCTTAGCTTTGTGAACTCGTATCCTGTTGGCATTGTTTATAGACTGAAATCCTTTTTGATCATGTTTATGTACTGTTGCCTGGGGTACGAGAACTGGCCTTTATGTTCGTGGCTTCTCACCTGTTACAAAATCAATAAGATTCACCTGTGGATACAAATAATACAACAGTGGAATATCAGACTTTTTACCTTTTATTTTATTAATATTTTCTACCTGTTTCGTGACTTAAAAGGTACTACAAATACTACTACTACAAATATATAATTTGTTTAGTTGCACAATGGACTACCTGTGCTGTGGCCACCGCGGGGATCTGTTCCTGAATTTAAGCGTTATAATCTCTGAAGCCTACTCTGAGCTATCGAGAACAAATTACAAAGAATTAAAACATTATTGAACAAATGAATTAATTAGTTTTTAATTAGGTAGCATTGTTAACATATTTTTGTTTCAATAAATATAACAATTATACTACTTTTTTTGTTTAGTTACTAAAAGTTGTCTTCTTTGGTAGCTATGAAATCATGTTACCCAGTTTTCCTGTTGTTTCTACTGGTCTCCGTAGCTAAAGTTGACCCAGCTATGGTCAAGCATTTCAAAATGCAAGGTATGATTATTTCAACAGGTAGCTTGTTTTAATTCAAGTACTTTTTTTTTAGATTTTAAACAGCTGAAGGAAACTAAACTGATAATCAGAATACAGAGCAGCTACAGATGCAATAATCTCTTACGTTTAACAACTGTCACGAAGGTGTTCCCGCTTCCAATCATAACATCTAGAAGTTGTGAAGGTTCTCTAAAAATTAACACAGACGTGTTCACCGTGAATGTCAATAGACAGCACTAACTAGAAATATTTCAAATGAAAATTTTTTTTTATTTAATTGTCAAGTAGTGAGTCTAATGTAGCTGTAATAGCGGACTTAAAATATAATACATATTGTACGTACTAGCAATGTAACTTTCAGATTAATTTTAAAACATTAATGTTCCTACTAATCAGTTCCAGCGTAAGAATCTATGTAAGAAAGACTTTACGTCTGTTGTTTGTGGCTTGAGTCTTAAAACTCGTACTAGTTGTGCTTCTAACCATAAGAATCTTTTACTATGCAACATCTTACTGCAGCTGAAAGTGCGAAGCTTTTTATGCGGTACCACGTTTCGAACCCCGAACCATTCGATGCACAGCTCCACCCAATAACTATGAGACCACGGCCTTCCAAAATATTTGGGCAAATTTTTTTATTAGGGTATTATGTAATAAATGGAATACCTCTACACCAAATATAAGTGAAATGCCCAAATGTTATTTTGAAGAAGCACAAAAGGGAACACACTCCAATTGGATATTTATACATCTTTCTGAGCAATAATGTTGGACATTCAAATTGCTTCTGACTAACATACAATACAACTTAAGTATCCGTTGTGTTCTAATCGAACAGATATCATCAGTTGTATCAGAATAATTAATGAGACTGTTAAATTGAAATGGAACTTGTCGCGTTGTTAAAAGGTTTAAGATTGTTAATCTGTAACCTAATATTAAGTGATGTTTTTTTTTCTTTATGTTTTCACATAAATTATCAGAGAGGACCACGGAACCGCCTTATGATGGTGATCAGATTCGCTTTGGTAACGAAGGATCGGGAAGCGCTACCCTTTTAGGTAACAAAAAGGTGCAGGATGTCGTCAAGGAGCTAGTCAAAGTAGTAGAAGATGCGTATCCTGTTATTTCTGGTAGGTCGTCCATCATTAATTTTAATGCTGATCCTAGCGAACGGTTTCAGTTCTGCAAGACACCCAAAAATGAATCAGGACATTGCCGCTATATTCAACACTGCTTATTGCCGGAATTCGTCGCAGACTTTACCAAGTTCATTGGTTATGTTTGTTTTATCAACAGTCGTTATGTAGGAACTTGCTGCCCAGACGACCACGTAGCGGAAAGTCTTCCAGCAGCTCTCACCACAACCAAAACACCATCTAAACCAAATAAACCAGAAAGCACACCTGAAGATTCTGTTTTTATCTTTCCGACGGAACCACCTACATCAAGACCCATATGGCTTCTACCTCCTTCAAAAGCAACACAGCCTCCCACTCCGCCTCCTCCTAAATCCACAGAGTCCACTCCCCGACCTCCACCAAAGCCATCTAGTTCACTTAATGAA